ATGGATCAAGTCACTGTCACTTTAAACCATCCTCACTCTCTTGTTTTTTGAACATGTTATTTTTCTTATTATCCCTTTGGCCTTGAAGGCTACCCCAATTTCAATACTATCCATTCTTCAGTGACAGCCCCCTACAAAATGAATATTCTTGATCCCCCAACCCAAGGAGAATTGATCTCTATGACACAATATGATTGACAGAATGCTGGCTTCATTTCTTTATCTGTAAACCAGGGACTAGAAATCTCTAGCTTATAAGATTTTGTGGAGAGGGGATCATATGTGATGATGGATGTTAGGCACAAGTCAAGAGTGTATAAGACCTTTTAGATTTATCCCTTTTCCCTTTCTTCTATCTCCATCAACATAGTACTTAGTCCCTTAAATCAGAAGTATTTGTGGTAATGTCTGATAACATCCTCCTAAATACACTTCTAAACATCTGTCTCTTTTTAGGGCAAAGGTTGGATATATTTGCAAAGATTCTCTTTGTATATAAGATATTCACAGCACATAGCTTAACGGTGGTGTGCACAGTAGGTATTCCATAAGCATTTATTAAATGAGTCAGAGTCAATAGTAATAAGTGACTGCCAAAAACAACTGACGGATTTTAACTTCCATTAACAGAAATATAGTCAGCCCTCCATGTTGATGGGTTCCATATCCACAGATTTAAGTAACTGAAGATGGAAAATATAGTTTAGAGACACAGTGAAAATAACAATTTAACAGTAAAAAATGCAAATAAAAAATTATATATAACAACTCTTTACATAACACATTGTATTAGATATTACAAGTAATCTAGAGATAAATGAAATATATGGGGGGATGTGTGTAGGTTAAATACAAATATGACACCATTTTACACATTTTAGTAAGGAACATGAATATTTTTGGATTTTGCTTTTCATGGGAATGGGAGAATGGAACCAAGTCCCTGAAAATACCAAGGGACCATTGTATGGGATACAGAATAAAGGAGTTGATTGTCTTGCTCTGTTAAGTTCTGGTCAGACACATTTGCAATGTGGCGTTCAGCCTCAGTATTCATGGAGCATCTCCTTTTGTAAAGCATGGAGGACCTGTGAGAGAGGCATGGAACAGTGAACATAACTATTGTCTCAGTATATCTGAAGGATTATCGTGGAAAAAGAAGTTAGATGTTTGTCTGTAGTACCCCAAAGGGCAAAAGCAATGACGGCAGATTACAGTTCAGTAAAATAAAGATTTTTTGTTTTGAGATGGAGTCTTCACTCTTGCCACTCATGCTGGAGTGCAATGGCACAGTCTTGGCTCACTGCAACCTCTGCCTCCCAGGTTCAAGCAATTCTCCTGTCTCAGCCTCCAGGGTAGCTGGGATTACAGGTGCACACTACCACTCCCGGCTAATTTCTTTTTTGTATTTTTAGTAGAGACGGGTATTTCATCATGTTGGCCAAGCTGGTCTCAAACTCTCGACCTCAGGTGATCCACCTGCCTCGGCCTCCCAAAGTGCTGGGATTATAGGCGTGAACCACCATGCCCGGCCTGAGAGATATTTTCTTAGAACAATTTCACCCTTCATCAGAAGTTGTCAGCATAGATCATATGAGTTTAGTTTGGTCTATAAGAGGGGGGTGTTTATTGAATTACTTGCTAACATTTTACTTTAAAATTCAGATTTCCACCATAAGGAATGAAGATCTGGCAATACAGAACTTTCATTCCTACATGATAATAACCAACTGGAGGTGAAAAGCAACTGTTCCTCTAGACGAGCCATGCACTTTGGAGTTTGCCCAGGCACCAGTGACCCGCTTTATTCATTTGAGTTACCTGCTTGACTCTTCTAGTCATTCGCATATGCCATCCCTGTCAGATAGCAACCTAAGCAAATCTTGAGTCCCTTGCTGACTACAAGGGCTTTCACTCAGCATATAGGAGAAGCTAAAAAAATGTACAAGCAGTGGCACAATAGGATCAGACCTGGCTTTCAATTCTAGCACAGCCACGTAACATAGTTGGATGACCTCAGGTCAGTAACATAACCCCTCTGAACCTTTAGATCTTCATTATCTGTGGAACACTCTCCTTGCAGAGTTATTGTAAGAATGAAATAAAACAACTATGATAAAGGGCATGGCAGTTAGTAGGTGCTGAAATATTAGCTCCTTTCTTATTCATCACACCATATCTGTCTGTCTATTGACAAAATCACAGAAATAGTAAATTCACTTTCACTGAAGACATTAAGGAAGAGTCTGGACCCTTTGGTAACCATGTATAGGACAAAGGTTTGAACTCACAGTAGATGATTTTTGCAGTCACTTTCTAACAATTTAAAAGCCTATAGATGACTCCAAAATGCCCATTTGGATGATTTGAGGCATACTTTGTGTAGGTAAGGATTTTAAATACGTAACAGAGAGGCTGAAGGGCCTTTGGGAAAGAAGCTGGGGTCAGGGATAAAGCGTAATGTGTTGACTGATATTCAGGAATAGGCTTTGGCATCTGACAGATTTTGTTTTAAATACTGCCGCTGGGTCTTACTAGCTTCCAGTTTTGGGCCACTTCACCTCTCTTGCATTTCAGTTTCCTTATTTCTAAAATGAAGATACTAATGCTTCCTTTGTTAGGTTTTTGTGAAGATAAGTGAGATAATAAATGTAAAACATCTAGCCCAGGGCCTGGTGCATAGAAAAGTTTCATAAATTGTACCCAGTAGTAGTAGTAGTAGTAGTGGTAGTAGTGGTAGTAGTGGTAGTAGTGGTAGTAATAGTAGCAGCAGTAGTAGTCCAGAAAAACAGAACTTGGAAAAATGCTAGACTCTGGCTGACATACATGGGCTTTTCCCCAGGCCACTGCTGCCTGGCTTCCCCTTCCACAAAGCTTTGAGTCTCCAAAATGCTTCAGCTGGAATGTAAGTGTGAGGTCACTGCAGATAACAGGGGAGAATGATTTGCTTCAGTAATGCAAGTTATTAAGTTACTTTCCTCGGTCCAGCTGAAATCTCTTATTGGTTGATGCTTCCTTCAAAGTGTGAGACTGAGCTAGTCTGAGGAGAGAGGTAGAGTGAGAAGATTCCTCTTCTTGGCCAGAGGTCATGGTCTTCCACAAGGAACAGAAAAATTCAATGCAAAGTATGGGACCTCCTTGCATTTGGGGCCCCTACATTTAAACGAGTCACTTCATTGCACACATTGGCACCCTTCCTTCCACACATTGGTACCCTTCCTTCCACAAAATTTCTGGGCAGGAATTTTCTTGACTCCTTCTGTGGCCTGGAATGATATTCTTTCTCATCCTTGCAATCCACACAGCTGGCAAACGTCAGGCAGCAGAGAAAAACACGCCTCTCTTAGCATAGAGAGAAAGAAACAGGAACAGCAGTACCAAATTTGCTTAGGACCTAATGTTAACAAAGGACTTTCCTCTCAACGCCCCAAAAACATTAAAACTTTTTTTAACAGCAAGCTGTGTCTCAGAGCAGCTCTCTGCTCTGCTGTATTTAAAGATCTGCTGAGTCATTTAAGAGCAGGCTGGCAGATCCTAAGAGGCAAGGACTATACCCCAGTCTATGGGGGAGTAAGCTGAGAGGTAAGATCTGTTTGGCTTTCTCCCATGGAGACAAACAAGGTGATCCACTTCCACCTCCCACGACTCTAGAGAGCATCTACTAAAGCTTCCTATTCTATCACCTTTGAATTCCTCAGTTTATAATAGAGTAAGGGTGAGAGGGAAGGAGTAGTTGTATCAGTGTTTCTGCTGCCTGGAATTGTAATGCCCCTACTCTTGGTAGCTGAAAGTAGCATGGAAGTGTCAGCTTGATGGGTTCATTTCGCTCTTTTCAGTTTCTGGTCACATGCATTGTTACCATGGCATATGCCAGTTGCTAGAAAGTGATATAATTTTTTTCTACTTTATTCTCCACTGCACTTCTAAATTTGTTAGTGGAGAAATTAACAGTTAGCAACTGTTAATTATAGGTACACATTGGGGTTCCCTTAGAGCCGGTTTTCCCCCTGGTTTTCATCTCGTAAATCTGTAGTTCTAAAAATTGGCAAAACCTAGAGCTTCTCTTTGGTCCTGGCCTGTTTGAACCCTGTTCCACAGACCCCAATCTCCTTTCCTGTTTGAGACAACTATCCTCCTATTTGTCTGCCATTTTCCTTTCATCTACTTTTCCCATCTCTAGCACCTCAGACTGTCTTTCCACAGTGGCACAGCCTCCCACTCTGCTTTCACTGTGCCATCTCCTTGTGATCAAAACCATTCTCACAGACCCTTACTTTGCTGAAACCATTTCTAGCCAGGGAAATCACAATGTATTCGTAAAGGATGCTTTCTGGATGACTTTAAAAGGTTGGCATTAAGATATTTTATCAGTGGTGGTAACACTGACTTATTCAGGCAGCTATGCCCAGGATCTATAAAAAAAAAATCAGGTAAGCTAAAAGTTACTTGAGCTGGCAGGAGACTTAGTTCTGTCTTCCTTTCCCTCTTGCATTTTGTTTATAGAAGGTATTCAGAGGACTTAGAGGCTGGCTTTGCTATCGTCAGTTGGTAAGAGAAATGGTGGAGGACTGGAGAATGAAAGTGGAACCACTGAACATGTTTGAGGCTAAATCATTACAATTCCTAGGATGTATAAATTTCTTGAAACTCTACAAAGTACTTTCAGACACATTATCTCTTTTACTCTTCAAAATCAACTTGGATGTAGGCTCAATGAGGATCAAATCCTTAGTTCACAGATGAGTAAATTGAGACTAGAGGCAATTAAAGAACATTCCAAGGTAACTCAGACAATAAACAACAGAACCAGGATGTGTTAATTTTTTAAATTTTTTTATTTTCTATTTTATTTATTATTATTATTATTATTTTTTGGTGCAGGGGAACAGAGTCTCACTTGGTTGCCCAGGCTGGAGTGCAGTGGCAAGGTCTCATCTCACTGCAACCTCTGCCTCCTGATTTCAAGTGATTCTCGTGCCTCAGCCTCCTGAGTAGCTGGGATTACAGACACGTGCCACCATGCCTGACTAAATTTTATATTTTTAGTAGAGGTGGGGTTTTGTGATGTTGCCCAACCTCGTCCTGAACTCCCAGTCTCAAGTGATCCACCCCCATCGGCCTTCCAAAGTGTGGGGATTATAGGCGTGAGCCACTGCTCTCAGTCCTGGACCATTAATTTTTTATGGTAAGTCCAACTTTTTTCAAGTTAACAGCTCTGATTTGCTGTATTATAAATGAATGGATGAGTATATATGTCATTTGGGAACATTATTTCCAACTTTTGGTTGAAGATTTGTTTTATCACTTGTGGAACATTTTTGTTTTTTCATTCTCAGCAATATCAGTTTAGTTTAAAGAACATTTCATTCACTAGTTAATATTTTATCCATCAATGCATTTCCTGAGTACCAACTTTCTATCAAATGCTGTGCTGGATTCTGAGGCTACAAAGAGAAATAAGACATCATCTCAGGCCTCTAAAATCTCACAGACTGGGGACTGACATCTCAGTAGTAAACACATGAATAGCAACTTATGAAATGCCATTAGTAAAATCTCAAGTTATATTCCTCAGTGAGTATGGCCATCCTAAAAACGGGGATGTCTTCATGAGATGAAGCCTTATGGGAAATTGCATTTTAATCTAATCGTGTCTTGCTAAGAACAGAAGTGAAATGTCTCAGCCTCTGTGTGTGCATTTGTGTGGGTGAAGGTTGGGTTTGTGATGATGGAAGGAACTGGGAGATTGCTAAGTAGGATCTATGGGGGGCCTTAGATCGTCCTGGTAAGCCCCAACTTTCTGGTTATGTATTTGTGTAGAGTGTGGGGGTGACAAAGATTGTTTTTTAAGAGTTGATTTTAGATTTTTTCCAAGTAAATGATCAACTGACTTGGAGCATCATTATTCCACTTGCTTTGAAAACCCAATACTCAAGACTCCTTCCTGTCATGGCTTAACTCTTTCTGATCAAGTATTACCCTTTTTGAGCATTTACTTGTCAGTTACAGATGCTATGTTAGATGTTGTCTCTCGTGTTTTCTTGTTTAATCTTTACTTTGATTCTAGGTAGCTCTTATTAGTTTCACTTTATAGGTAAGAAACTGAAGTTCAGAGACTTTAATAAACTTGTTCAAGATCACACAGTAAGTAACTTGGTAGTTACTTACTTAAATTCTGATTCTTCAATTTTTTTTTGTTGTTGTTGTTGTTTGCTTGTTTCCAGGCCTCACTGCTGTTTTCACCATTCCACACCACTTCAATTTTCATTGAGGTCTTTAAATGTACCCTTCATCAGCCAAAGCCTCTTGCCTCCCTTCAATATAACTCTTCTCTAGCATGTTCTTAATAATCTTCTGAAAAGGCTTTACAGCCTTCCTGGGTACTAGGACCCAGATTCTTAATCCAGGCTCTTCGATGCCTTAGTTAACTGTAAAATGGAAAATCAAACTCTCAGCCTATCCAGGAAAAATGAGTTTGGGATGTGAATTTCCTGGGCAACTTGTCATCTCTTTTTCACTTCCTTAGCTTCATAAACTTACCCACAATGTTCCCTGAGGACTAAGAGTAGTGGAGGATGATGAGGAAAGGCTTTCCTCCCTTCCTTTCCAAGAGTCCTTTAGCCAAATGCCACACCTCCTGTTTCCCTAATCTTCGTGCAGAGATAGAGGTGGGAGATAGACATGGATTCCTTTCAGTCCTGAGTTCATGCCAGGCTTTTCTTTCCCTCTAGCTGGACTGAGGTAGGAGGAGAGATTGAATGTCTACCAAGATGACCACGAGTGAAGAAGACTAAGGTACTTGAAAGAGCAGCAGACATATGCTTAAAATACCAGAATTTGTGTCCAGACTTTGTAGGCTACTATCTGTATAATTCTGGGCAAGTCAACAGTTCGGAGTCAGAATTTCCTCATCAGCATATTGGAACATAAATTCTAATTATGTAGATGAAACATTAAGTCTAGAAGTATTTTGTAAATTCAGAAAGATCTTATAGATTTGAAGTGTAGCTGTTTCGATTATCAGAGACTAAATCCCATACTTCAGGAATAAAATCCTGTCCTGTTTTTTCTAAAAGCCTGTGCATGTGTGGTGTAAGGGGTGGGTTTTTCTTTTCCCCTGTACCAGCCACTTTGCAACTGTAGTAACTGGGGACTGAGGACAGTGACCTGCTTTTGTATTGAGCAAGTGTGAAAAGAGGGTTATGCATCAGGGGTCAGCAGATGGCAGGCAGAGTAGCCCCTCCAAATCTCCCTCCCACACCACAAAGCCCTCTTATTTATTCAAAGTTAACATTAGAATCTCATTTCAAGTAGCCATGTCTGTGTCTGGGCATATTTTTTCTTTCCTTGTGTACAGCAAGCATTTGTCAACTTGGTGAAAAGCATTACTCTTCTTTCCATTTCCAAGGACTAATCGTGCTTGTTCACTAGACATGCGTTCAAAACAGTGGATTGAAAGAGCGCAAGCTTATAGCAAAGAATCAGAAATAGTCAGAATTTCGAGAGGATTCTAGAGGTCAGTTCCTTTTTGTATGGATTGAGCAACTGAAACCCAGACAGGAAAGGGGATTAAACCAAATTCAGAAGCACAATCACATTACTGGCACATTCAGATTGGAAATCTAAGGCTTCTGCTCCCAGGTCAGAACCAAATGTCGTTTCTAGCTATGGTATTCTTTGATCTCAGTGATTTTGACTCTTTCTACTACATAAGAGTGACAGTGGGTTCTGAGGTACTGGCTCCAGTTGAAGTGGGAGTATGTACCAGCCACTCCCCTTGTTTCTTTTCTGGTGGCCTGGGAGTGTGATCTCTCTATGTGATATTTTCACACTACTGTCCTTATTTAAATCACACTTGAATCTTGCCAATTAACAAGACAGTAATTGGCATCAGAAGGGTAGGTTAGTTTGCTTATCTTTACCATCCCCCCTCTTCCCAACCCAGTGTGCATTGCAGAATGTTTTATCAGCTCTGATTTGCTAAATTGCTCTCTTCTCCAGTAGGTGCTGCGAGCAGAGAGGGATTCCTCAGAGGTCACCTGCTTCATCTTTTTGCCTATGCGAATGCCTGCCTCAAGCTGTTGGAGGCTGGCTTTGTACCGGACTTTGTACAGGGAACCAGGGAAATGAATGCAGAATGCTCCTGACATTGCCTGTCACTTTTTCCCATGATACTCTGGCCTCACAGGTGGGAGGTTCTTCAGTTGAAAACTTATAACTCAGTTTCTAGAGCAGGGAGTGTTATAAGGTTTGGACTGTGACCTGGTATTATGCAGCCATGACATTATCTATTAGGCATCTAGACCATCTTCCTTGAATATCTTAGCATGTTGACTAATTTTGGTGCAGACTACAGTGTGAGTGGGGGATTGTGTGTGTTTGTGTGTATGGGGTGGGGGGGAGTTAAGCAATTTATTATTATTAACATGAAAAAAGCAGTTAATTCCCTATGGCAAAGTTGTCTTTTTCATGCATGTTGGCTTATCTGCAAGACCCCTAGAGACAGTAAGCAACGTACATGGTATCTTCCAATTTCCAGCCTTTGTGCAAGGAACAACTGTGGGTTTCTGCATATGTGTTGTGGTTTGATGTTTGTATGTGATTGTGTAACAGAGTATGTATGTCTCTGTTATTGTGAATTCTTTTCTGAGCAGTTGTGACACACAGAGATCCAGAAACTGTCTTACTCTGTGTGCTTTGCTAGTGTGAACATGTCTCTTCTTTTGTGCTCGTGTCTCTGTGTAATCAAGGATCTTGCTAAGTCAATGTGTCTCTGTCTCTTTATACCAGTTTTTCTGTCTTTATGTCTCTGCTTTCTTGTATTTTTTTTTTCCTGAGTTTGCGTATGTCTCTGTCTTTCTGGATATCTCTCACTCCCGGTCCCTGTGTCACTGTGTCTGTATTTACAGTTATTTCTTTCTGTCGGTGTGTGGATTTCTATGTCTGTTTTCATCTTTATTTGTGTGTCTAAGAAAGACTGTTTTGGGATGACTACTTCCGTTTATGTCATAGCCCTTCTTTCTGTGACTGCTTCTGGGTATGTCTTTTTCTTTGCCCCTGCTGTCTCCATCTCCATGTATCTCTCGATATATGTTGTAATGTATCTGCCTACTTATCTTAGTTCATGTTTCTTTAGGCATATATTCCCTCTCTTGCAGTTCTGGGCTTTTGCAATTTTTTGCTTACTTATGTTTCTGTATATATACACTGGAATTGGCCTCCTTATCTTTTTTTGTGCATGTTTTAGTTTGTATGAGTGAGCATATGCAATTCTGTCCTTGAGAAGCAGAACTGTCTATGTTTGCAGTCAGTTGTGTTGGCTATCCCTGTGTTTGTCCCTGTGTGTGCAGTTCATTATATGTGTACCCGTCCACGTATCTTTCTGCTTCTCTGTGACCAGATATTTCTATGTAGCTGTCTATGTATGTTGGCTTCTGTCTGTGTCTTTGTTGTTGACTATATGTCTGTGCATATGCACCCACTGAGCTCATAAAAACCTCAGCTGCTTTGTGAGGAATCTACCAGATTATTTTGTGAAATACCATGCCTTGTTTTTTACTTTCTTAGTTATCTTCTGTCTTGCCAGCTGCTATGGTACTTAAGAGTGCGTTGGCACTTAAGTGTGCATAACTATTCATGTAGAATGTCAAAAGAGTCAGTTAAAAATTATACACAGTCTGTTTTTATTAACAGGGCAGTTGTGTGTAAAGAATCCTTGAGAAATGAGTGGTTAGATGACAAATCTTTTTATATTAATTTCATGATGTCAGTGAAGTAAATTTGAAAGGTACAGGCTTCATAAGAGCTATGTTCTTTTTAAAACTCAGCGAATTGATGGTGGAGAAAGCATTGATTTGTACTGCAAAGTCTAACTTGTGATGTTCATTACTGTGTTAGAAGATGTTACTTTTCTGGATTTGTTTGGCTTTTAGTTTTAAAGAGTTACTGAAGATGGCATCTTAGGGACATAGAGCTCTGAGATTGCCTTAGAACATATGGAGTACAGACAAAAAGGAGAATGAAAATTAACAGAGAGATGGGCATGTTGCTTATTTGAATGGAGTCAGGCAGGGGCTCAGGATGGAGTGCACAGGAAATGGAGAGGTGAGGGTCATGGAGAGAAGCTTAGCAGCGTGGGATCTTTCCTTGTCCTGGGCTCCTGTGACCATCTAAGGAAGGCAGTAAAGGGAGGGGTAGGGATAAGGAAGAGATCAGAGCTCCCTTTTCTTTCTGATGGAAGGTTACCCCCTCTATTTAAAACTTCTGTTCTTTTGGTTTGTCCTTCTTTTCTTGATTATATTATTTTCTGGTCTTGTTCTGCCACAGCAAGAAGGAAATTCCATATGTGGCTCAGTCATTTATTATACTTGTTTATTTGCAAGATATTAAAGAGAGCTTGTTAAGTGTCACTGCAAACATCATGCCCACTGATCCACTGATATGGGCAGAGGGTCTTCATGCCAGTTCTGCACCCTTCCCAGTGTATCTGTAGTGCTTAATGGGGCAACAATGATTTTTTGATGTCAGTCGTCCAGGGTGTATGCAGGCTGCTTAAGACTACATACAGTTCCTTCTCAATTGTGGTAGTTCCTGAGAAGGAAGTGATCACTAATAAAAGACTCGGTTCAGTAAAAACATATCAATTGTGTAGGTGTAGGAAATTAATAAAGTACTCTGCTAAGGGACATTAACATAGAAGTTAACTGAATTATGCTCAATAAAAGGAGTACAAATGTTTCATAAGTATTTTAACCTAATCCTCCTATAAGATTAGGAGAGGGGTATTTCAGATATTCAAATTTTTTTTTGAATTGGCCAATACCTTAGCTATATTATTTACATACAATTGACATGATAATTAAGCTGCTGTGTCTGTTTTATGATAAAACAGGCACTTTTTGGCTTAGTTTGAATTATTAAATGTAAAATAATGAAAATTAAAAAAACACAAAGAGGAGGAATCTATCCTATTTTATAATTCAGACCATTGAATTGAGTTTTTCTTTTGCTGTATTGATTAAAATTCAGAGAAGCCTGTGGTACTGGATTCCAGTCAGAAGACAGAGATTTGTATGTGGTCTCTGCATTGCAGCCAATCTTTATAATTTCAAACCTTGATTTTCTCATCTGTATAATGGTAATAATAAACCCTGTCTCAGTAGCTACCAAATGATTGCATATGACAAAGTTCTCACTTATTTAAGTAAAAAAATAAAAAGAAGGACAATAGGGTGGATTTTTCACAAGTAAAATTTATTTAGTTAGGTTAATATTCTGAGATTGTCTTCTGAAGCAAACCCTGCAAACCCTGGCCATTCTGTTTTGTTTAGGAAATAATTCATCAGTTCTGATTCTGCCTTTTCTGGTGAGAGAGGCTAAGTATTGAATTGAAGAGGAGTCATCACTTTTCTGAAATGATATATCCATGGTAAAAATTAGTAATGCTTTGCATATGCAACATACAGTGTTCAGTTTTGTATTCAACAAATATTTAAGTGACAACTGTTATGACCTCAGGGGTGTAGTAACTTTCTATTGTCCTTTAATTATAAAAAAAGAAATCTACATCAGAATATCAGGTAAAATCTTATTACACCAAATATTGTAATAAAGAGACTTTAATATTCTCTAAAAAAGGTGGAGATCTCAGATATTGCTTCATTTATCGATATAATATCAGATTTTAAAATTCAAGTATATGAAAGGAAGAGGACAGCTTGTTAAAGTTCATAGCGATTTTCTATGAAATATCAGTTCAGATTTTTTCTGTTTTACTGGTGCGATGGAAGCTAAATTTTGAGTTGTCAGTAGTAGATCATTAGACTGCAGAGTAAGCCTTGAGATTACTTTGTTTCAGGTAGGAAACTCCCCTGTATATTTGGCTAGTTCAACATATCATGGGTAGTCAAAAATAGTTACACATCCAAGTCAGCATTTTTTAAATTGTTCAGTCGTGATTAAAGTGCTTTCCAGGACTAATCCAGCTTTATCAAAAAGCTATTATGTACATGTAAAGTGCTCTGAAATTTTATTGCTCACAATAGCCAAAGGATGTTGGTAGGAATCTTTGTCTTCATTTTATAGATGAAGAAACTAAGACACAGAGACATAAATTAACTAGGCTAGGTTCCTAACACTAGAATGTGATAGATGATAATTTGAGCCCAGCCCATACTTATTTCCCTATAAGTATTCGTTTTATGATGATATAAATGTCTACTGACCAGCCTTAATCTCTGCTCCCTGAGATTAATCCTTCTACAAAGCAGATAGAGGTCATTCAAATGAAAGGTTTACACTTTTAGAGGGCCATTAACAATGCTCAAGTTAAAGAAAAGAAATCAAAGACAACTAAAATGCTGGTACCTTCAGAAAGTACTTATGAATTATTTAACCTTAGATAATTTGGCTTTGAGTTAGAAAGACAGAATAAGATGGAGGAACCAATTCTTCCCTGGGTTGTATTTATTTATCTTGCTCTTTTCAAGTCTAGGCCAGTCATCCATCTGTTCTGAATGGCCCTTTAACGTTTGTCCATTTAGGGACAGCAGATTTGGCACAAATTGATTGGTTTTCTCAGGTCTTATATAGAGGGCTGCACTGGCTGACTTCTAAAAGTCCTTCCTAACTCTTCAAATCTCAGGATTATCTGGTCTCAAGCCTTCCTTTCTGAATACATTTCTATTGCTTTTTTGAGTAATAGCACAAGACTGCAAGCTGACCCGCTGGGTGGATGAACTGGGGCTCTTGCCCTACCATCCTTTGGCAGACAATTAGAGGGTGGCATTGTCACTATCTCATTGTATATATGGTCCCTTGAGGCCCAGAGTGGCAAAGGAATTTTCCCAGTGTCACACAGCTAGTTATTGTCAGAGTACATATCAATTTTGAATTTATAGCATACATGGTTTTACCTCTATCATTTCTGTTTATTATAAAAGTTTTAGAAATAATAATTAATGGGAAGTAGAAATAATGATTAAAATAAATCCATAACTATGGAAAATAGTTTTTTGCAGCACCACCTAAATTCATCTCAGCATTCTACCAGTAGTATACATTTCACAATTGGGTTCACGTTGCTCTGGATCTTATAGCTGTTAAAGAAGACAAAATTCTTTCCATTCTCTAGCTTATATTTTCCCCATTTGTAAACCATAATGAAAGTGTAGGAAAAATAAGAGTTGA